TCACGGTTAAACTACATATTATTTCGAGTCCGAAAATTAGTGAATATTCTTCAGACGTTCTAAAGTAAAGGTGAACAGCGTTTTTCTTAAAAATATCACTTTTATGTAGTAAAAAAAATCCGGAAAGTTCTCGCTTCGTGACTTGTTCAATACTTCGAACTCGGCTCGAGCCCGTCCCGACCTTCTGTCAAAGCCTGGTGCTGCGGACTCTCTCGCGGACCCTCTCTCTCGCACCGTCACCTCTCATTGGCCAGTGTTTTTTGTTAATAACTCGTAAACAAAGCCGTGGATTGCATTTTCGCAAAGGAAAAAGTTACTTCAAATGACCTCAGCTACCCCTCATTTTCGGCTGTTAAAATAATTGTGGGACACCCTGTATATATAAATTTATGGCATATCAAGTTGTACATTGCGTAAATGTTACATGCATCGAGACAAGGACTATACGTGCGCTATTATCAATTTCTATGAAGTTGCTTTTAGCTTTCTTAAACCTGTGTAATCAATTGTTTTATTCAATTAATTTGAATCTATAATATTAAATTGGTGGGTGAAACATTGTCAGTATGTATTAGCATTTTACTGGCAATATTTAGTAAATATGTTTAGTATTTCGCTTTTCTTGAGAGGTGAGAAAGGAGATGAAGAATGGAAAAACCTGGTGAGATGAGCAACATTTATCTAAAATAATGCTTCCGTTTTTCAAAAGCGTGAAATCTATCCAAACTTTTAATTACTATTACGGATTGTTAGATTCATTGCTATAGCATTTATAAACATTTTTTAAATTATGAATAATATTTTAAAGTTGTTTAACGATTTTTCCCTCGCAAAGTCAGCCCCCCCCCCCCCCCTGGAAAATTACTTCGCGGTGTCGCCATGGGCCAATTAGAATTGCCGATTTATCCTGCGGGGGAGAGGTAATCGTAGTCCATCAATCTTCCTGGACAGCTCGTAGAGATCGGACGTGGTATCAACGAATGGTAAGTAATTTGCTTTTTTACATAATTCATTTCAATGTTGTGACTTCGTATTAACAAATTATCAATAATACAATGGCCAGAAGTCTGACGTTGTAACTTTTTGTAGAATACCGGCATTTTCATAAGAAATATGTAAGATTAAAGTATTGCGTCGTTGCTCTTCAGAATTTCGATATATCGTGTTCTTTTGCGTTGTATAATTAATATTTCGAAGTTAATAAATCATTTTGATGTGAAAATCGTGTCCTTTGACACGATTATTATTTATTAGATTAGCTTTGCGAATCATTCGTTGAACTGTGTTCGGACACGGAATTATTTAAATTAAAATATCATTTACGTACTTTGTTAATCTTCACTGTACACCTTGCTTAAAAATTTCATATGTTACACAAGGTGTCATGCACACTAGAAAGTTAAAACGGCCGTCACGGTTAAATTACTTACTATTTCTGGTCCGAAAAATTAGTAAATATTCTTCAGACGTTCTAAGGTAAAGGTGAACAGCGTTTTTCTTAAAAATATCACTGTTACGTAGTAAAAAAATATTCGGAAGTTCTCGCTTCGTGATTTGTTCAATACTTCGAACGCGGCTCGAGTCCGTCCCGACCAGCTGTCAAAGCCTCGTGCTGCGGGCTCTCGAACTTCGCGCCGTCACCTCTCATTGGTCAGTGTTTTCCGTTAATAACA